TACTACTGTTTGATGAGAAATCAAATCATGGTTTGCTATATATGAATTCAGGGAAGAAAGGATAGGCCTACTAAGTATTTCCATTAAACTTTATTTTTAGAAATGTACAAAATGAACATAAATATACATACACACGGTATATCATCCATTCCTCCTCGCATCTTGCCTGCGCACAGCCGGTGCGGTGCCTTTTAGCACGAGGCCTCAGTAGTAGTAGAAGTCCCGTCCCCGTCATGGATTGTCCGCCAGGATCTGGCTGGACGAAATCAAATGCAAATCACAAAATATTAGAGAAACTTAGTTGTTTTAGATTCGTTAGTAGTAGTTGTGCTAGGAGTGTAATGAACAGCTTGCCTGCTAATATGCTAACCTAGCTTTGTTTACCTTGGTAGCTAACACGATATGAACGTTAGCTTGGAGGAAAGGCAACTATAATGCAGTGTAATAAAACTACTATGAACAAAAGCTAGTGGTTCATATTAGGCTAGCAATAACGTGTTTATAATTGCAATCGTATACGGGTATTCTGCTACCATACAATGTAACTTGCATGAATACATTGTTTTGCGCTAGCATACAGCTAGCCTCGTTAGCTATACATGCAGTATATGTACTGTCACAATGTACGGTAAATCACCCGGAGTATACTGTATGAGTATTCCGTGTGTGTGACTGCAGACATTCTCCTGCCATGACAAACATGTAAGGCCATCTGCTGACATTGTAGTTGATATATTTAAACGCGAGCAACGTAGCATCACAAAAATGTTTTTCCGACCAAACCTAGCTCTAGCTCCGTGTGTTAGATGGTTGCATACACGCTACGCCAGCTATAATGTAATTACGTTTCGCGACTGACCGCACGGCAAATCACCCGGAGTATACTGTCAATAGGTATTTTGTGTGTGAATGCAGACATTCTCCTGCTATGAGATACATGTATGCAAGGCCATCTGCTGATATTAGAGTTGATATATGGAAACTCTAGCAACTTAGTTAGCACAGTTAGCACTGTGTCAATGGCTTAGCAGTCCAACACAGTTTACACATTTAAACAGTCTTGTTTGATAAATACACAAATAACAATGCAAACTTACAGGTTGTGTACCCGGATCTTCCCCTGCTCCAAACGGTCCAAACAAGCTGTGCATATCCGGCCTCAAACTGGGCAATGTTTTGGAAGCTTTCGTCTGTGAAATGCCGGTTCTTCGAACCTCTGGAGGAGGAACACGCCGCTGCTGGTGTGGCCATAGCTCTTCGGGATTGGTCCATTTCGTTCCGGGTACCGCATGACATCAGGCGGTACCCGGAAGAATCAAATGGGCAGTGACGTATCTCCAACGAGGCGTTTTGGGGAGGTATTTTCTGTGTTAGAGTTTTACTCGCTACAGGGTGTACTTTGAGGGTTTTGACTCTGCACACCGTTTACATGCATAAAAACCTTCATAACACACAAGGGGACGGGTAATAACCGGAAAAGCATGACATGGGAGCTTTAAGTCAAGTCTCAAGTCATGAAAACCAAGTCAAAGTCAAGTCAAGTCTTTTATCAATGTTAGTCAAGCAAGTCTCAAGTCAAAAAATATGCGACTCGAGTCTGACTCGAGTCAAGTCATGTGACTCGAGTCCCCACCTCTGTTATATATACACAGCTCGGAAAATATTACCGAGGTCCGGACCTCAGTGATCTCAATGGTGGATACGGCCCTGCTCCTCAGTGTCTCCTTCACTGTCCTCTATTTACACTTATTGCATGCTAGATGATGAAGATGCACTTCCCTGTCTCTTTTTAAGCCTCCGATTTGCTTTCTCCAAAACTTGTTGCCAAAACTGTGAAGTCCTTGCATTTCCTGAGGCCAAGTTGAAGGATCAAATACTAAGAAATTATCACATGACTTGAAGTCATATCTGATTTCAGATGTGGGAAGTTACTAAGTACACTTATTCAAGTACTGTACTCAAAGGTGGGGTATGTAATTTTGGAGAAACCAGCTCGAGTGCGCTAGAATTTGAAACTACGCAGCCGAAAAAAATCTGCCTCTTCCTTCAGACTTCCTTACAGAGCCCCTCCTCCAACACACACAAACGCGCACATGACCAATGAGGGCACGAGATAAGTTTGTGCACAGATGGAAGGCTGACAGGCAGGTAGGCCATCCAGTTATTTTAGCCGGGCCGGCTAAAATCATTGGTCGTGCTTTTTACAGCGCTACGGCTTCCACAAATGACCTTTTTTTATGTATTTATTGTCAAAGCATTTCATATATTCATTGCTATCGGGATGTTAAGAGCATTCCATGGAATATAACAAAAAGTGTTTCTGAAATAAATTACGTACCCCACCTTTAAGTACAATTTTGAGATATTTGTACTTTACTTGACTTTGATGCTTTGTACAGTACTTCTACTCCACTACAGTTCAGAGGTAAATGGTGTACTTTTACTCCACTACATGTATTTAATCCCTTTAGTTACTTTACAGATGTGGATGAATGATGTGAAATATAATCAAGTGTTAAATCAGACTTTAGTTCCACCTGGAGTAAATTCACAAGCTACCCTGCAGTATACAAAGTCATTCAAACTAGCTGCACCTTTACCAGCTTTGAGAACACTTTAATGATCAATAATTATAAAACATATCATATATATTATTCTGAAATGGACCAATCTGCACAATGACTACTTTTACTGTCGCTACTTTAACTATATTTTGATGCTGATACTTTACTTTTACTTGAGTAACATTTTGAATGCAGGACTTTTACTGTAACAGAGTATTCCTACACTCTGGTACTTCTACTTTTACTCAAGTACAAGATCTGAGTACTTCTTTCAACTCTGTCTGATTTCAAACTCAAACACCCTGAGTAAGTTTGCAACTGTGTGTTTTACTCCACTTTGTTGTAAATAAAACTGCAGCAGCTTGACCACTGAGCGTGAACGTTGTGATCAGCTGATTTTTCGCAGTTCTCCAGTGTGTGCGCGGGGCACAGAATGTGCACAGGTGAGTCTCCCACTGCAGCCAGTTGGCGGAGTTTTGGCACAATTCTGTTGTTCATACCGACGTTAACCCTGCCTGTGCACACGGTGAACAACTCTGTCGTCCAGTGATCTAAGCCTCTGCCTCCTGCAAAGCTTCACAGGTCCGTCGGTTATGTCATGGGCGCAGGGCCGTCCCTCCCTACAGGCCGATCATGCAGGCTGCATGGGGCCTCACATTGCGCAGGGGGCCTCGCGCAGGGGGGCCTCGCGCAGAGGGGCCTCGGCTTATGAGCTCGGCTTGTGCGCAGTCCCCCCCCGGCTGACACGCGAGAGTGAGAGGTGACAAGGGGAGCACGTCTGTAACCCGACACCCAGGGCCGTCCCTGGCCAACAGGAGGCCCCACGCATAGTTATATAGTGGAGCCTCGCAGCGGCGAAACCGTGCCGCGCCACACTAATTGCAGCGCATAGGTGCACCGCATTTTCGGCTCAGTTGAGGCCCCCTCCGCAAGGTGAGGCCCCACGCAGTCTGCATGATCGGCCTGTAGGGAGGGACGGCCCTGCCGACACCGTTGCAATGAATCGACATCTGACCAATGACGGCCTGCACTAGTGCAGGTGAAGAGATGTCGGCGAAAAGACAGTTTCAGTCCGGCGCAAGCAAGAGGAAAAAAAAACAAAAAACTAGAAACTAAGAGCATCACTCGATGGTGGGTTATTGTATGAGTCAAATGTACAACTTGCGAATGTTGTATAAGTCAAATGTCAAACCTTTGCCAATTGCCATATTAAAACATCAGCTGCAATTCATGACATGAAGAAGGCAGTCTCTGCATAGCATATAGGCTAATGGAGATGCAGTTATTTCCAGCATTCTTTATTTACCATTCATTCAAGTATTTTATGCCTTTTATCTGCTAATGTAGGCTACAGGAGGAAGAGTGATAAACTGTCTGTCTAGTTGGCTTACATAACAGTTAAAGTTTACAGCCTAAAAAACATGGAGCATTTTTTCCCCTTTCCCTTAACTCCTAACAGTCATCATGTCAACCACAACACAGAGAAATACTGATAGAAATGTGTGTGTAGTTGTTGATACATTGCTGACAGAGGGAACTACATTTGAATACAGATTTAAGAAATATCAGTTTTTGAGCATGTAATAAGCATGTTTTGTCTTGACTATATTACAACTATATTATAATAAAATAATATAGTATTTATATTATTGAATTGATTATGATTATGATTATTATTATTAGTAGAAGTAGTTTATTTGCATTAATTATATTTTAATCTTTTTGAGGCTAGTATTTGGCAGGAAATGCAGACGTATTCACCTGTAAACGCATACTGAACGACATACATGCACATTTACCATTTACCTCACTGTATAAAAAAGTAACTTTGTTGATAATAATAATAAACAGGAATTATATTTGCAAAGTACTTTGTTTCCAAAAAAAAAGTTTCACTCCTGTCGGTTGGGGGGGGGGGGGCCTCATCTCACAATGTCGCTTGGGGCCCCAGTCTAATCTTATACAGTCAAGTAATTGATGTGACTTCAAAGCTCATGCTTAAATCTGTATAAGTGTTGGGCATAAGGGGGGATCCCAACATTTATACTGGGTCTGAGCCAGGCCCCTAGTGTTTACTAATCCTGAACACGCCCCTGTTAGTCACGTTAGTCATAGGCTGTTTAATAACAACTGTGCGCGCTTTGGGACGCAGGATGAAGCCACTTGGCTCATGTGATCGCTGATGGACCGGGGAAAACGACCTCACGCCTGGGGTGGGCCTGCTCTGCGATGCGCTGCGCTGCGAGGATTGGAGATCCGGAGTTTGACAGGCTGGTTAATTCCGCCCATCAACACGACACGCCTCCTCTGGTCCCAGGAGCATGTCTGAAAACTACAAATTGGGGAGTGAAGAGTTGGACAAAGTTGTGCGGATGAGATTATTTCTAATCTAAAAACGAGCAGAGCACACAAGGGGAGTAATTATAGATGATTTAAATGGCGGAGGAAATACTTCTGGAAAGCGATGGAAAACACGGCACGGTGAGTGTTCAAATGTGACTTTTATTATGGAGGGTTGATTGACATGTAGTCAAATATCATGTTTTTCTGTTGCATTATACAGTATTTGGATTATTTTGTGAGATTTTCCTGATTTGGATTTGGCGTTTTAACCATCAGCTCTTCATACTGTCAACACAGACATGTTTATGTGGCCTATAAATGGAAATACTGTATGTTTATACAAATCTCCAGATTTGAATAAGGATCATCATATCAGCTGCTACAATTTAGATTTCACTATAAAATGATCTAAAACAGGCTTTAATTTATTTAAAATCAATCATAAATCAAACTAAGAAAATCCCAGCTAAGAATAGTCAAATATTTGCTTTGACTAAACTGCAACATGTGAAGAGCTGCACATCCGACAGATAATCAACCTAATTTAAGTGCAGACTGGGCAGCATTGTCTCCAGTTAGCTATTTTCACGTGTAGTCGTCTGACTCCATCCTTCAGTCTATTAAGCGGCTAAATTAGTTTTCTTGAAGGCATCTATGCTGTTATTGTTCAGCCACAGAGCAGAGAGCCTCCTCAGTCTGCTCCTTGTACTAACATCTTACACATTAGCAGATTCCTTTTGGGCTCGCTGATATAAAAGAATAGTGGGGTTGAATAAACCCTGATTTTATTTAGTATTATATAACCATGACAGAGTGGTTGGAGGGTGGGCTTACTGTGTGGTGTAATTTTCTCCAACCTGAGGTATAGACACTCAAAATAACGTTATAATCCTGCTGACCTATTAGAGGTCAGCTAAGCTTTGTTTGCTGGAATTTCGGATGGCAGCCAAGAGAGTAGCTGCAACCCGCTCCTAATGAAAATACAGTAGACCGCCCCCCTCCCTCTTTAAAGACAGAGTAGGGGCTCATGTGACTTTGGCGTGGTCCACACAAGTACTCTACCAGGCTGATGTTATTAATATGCAACACCAAGCTTAAGTTGTCCTCTTTTCTCAGACTGCTACACAAGTTTACCTGAGAAATGTTGTAGCTTCATAAAACCTCTTTTTCCTACAAACCAGTTCTAATTCAAAGTCTCTCCCAGAGGTAAACGTTTTGAATGTGTCCTGTATCCGTGTGTTTGTTTTACTTCTTCTGAATCCACCAGGTTCCACTAGGGGCCGTTTCAGCTTTGCCCCAAAGTCCAAAGATCACACATGCAACATATACCCTTTACAATAATGCTGTTACATACTCATGCAGAGGGAGCTAATCTCTTTGCAGGCTGCAGACCAGTCCAGAGAATAGACCCAATGTGCATGACATATGTTTAAGTACACAGCAGAGACAATTACAATACTTTATCACTTTAATTTAGCTGTATTATTATTTTAATTTGTATTCTATTTTATCTTAATTTTTACCCTGTGTGAATCCTGTTTTTCATTCTGACACTGTTGCTGCTATTAACGCCTGAATTTCCCCAAGGGGATAAATAAAGTTCCATCTTATCTTATCTTATCTTATCTTATCTTAATAAAGAAAATGCACAAGCTACAGTATCGTTAATGATCTAAAATACACCAAAATTAACAACAACAGTTATTATTTATACTAAACACACATACTCTATAAATATCCACTGTGTATGCACATAGACATTTACAATTATGGACTGTAAAGCTGTTTATTCTGACATGAAGGCTACATTGAAGGTGGCTAATGCTCTCTTTGTCCTTTATGGGAAAATCAAAAGTTGGAGTCACGTTTTAACAAAAACACCCATCAAAGACAAACATTTTTGCTAATACCTAAGTCGTGTTAATACTTCACTACTGAGATAGTTTACTATGTAACTTTTGTTGGCATCTGACTTGTTTTATCTTCCCATTCTCAGCATCTCACAAAGCCTCTGCTGGCGGTGGCTTTCCTGGCCTCGTTCGGCAGCTCCATGCTCTATGGCTTCAACTTGGCGGTCGTCAACTCACCAGCACAGGTTAGCCATCATTCCCATTGTCATTCTTACTGCTGTCAGTCATCATCCACCTGAGTGTTCAAGTAGTTTTCACCCCAAATGTTTCCAGACTGAATCTTGGAGACTCAATCTTTATCTATGCTACGGATGACTTTTAGATGTTAATGGAGACAGCAAAGATAAGATTGCATTTTATTGTCATGTGAAGTCATGTGGGTGTGTATCAAATGGAGAGGCGGCTGAGAGCCTCAATGTGTCATTGATGTCATGTTGTTTATATCCACCTTCTGCACTTCGAATTGTGATTTGCCGTGGTGTAGTGACTAGGCTGGGAACCATTCCTGTCCCCCCCTCATCACATTGAAGCATGTGAGCTTCAGTGCCACATTTCTTACTACCAGTCAGGGCTACTTTCCTATGAAGGAGATGCATGGAACTCCAGCATATCAGCACATGACGAACACCATTTCCATCAATATGGCGAGGCTTTTAACAAGCAGTTGAATATTGAAACAAAAAACAGGTTAAGAGTCACATTCATTTAGAGCCCTGTTTGTATCCACCTTCTGATTAAGTCAAATATTTCCTATTCTTTTTGGTCTCCACCAGTCTCTACGGGATGACATCTGTCTCATTAGCCACTAAATGCTATGAAAGTTTAGACTACAGTGGGTTTTTAGAGCTTTTTGAACTTCAAATACCGGCAAAGCTTTGAGTGTAAACCAAAACAGTTGTTAACAGCAGAACAAGGAGTTGAAACGTTCCATTAGGGTGAGGGGAACCAACATTTGGGTGATAATCCTGTCTAGATCCGACCCCTTGCTTACGGCTCTCCATTGTTCCAACCTCTCATTTTTTAACATGAATATTTTACCAAACTTGAATGATGCAGTATTTACTTTGTTAGATTGGAGATAAGTGCTCATCGTCACACATTTCCCAAATTGCTACCGATGTGAGGTCAAACCTTTGACCATGCTCCATGTGACTTCAGTGTTGTAGGATTCACCGCTGTGTGTCATCTGACATTAGTTACTCCAGTGTGCTCCAAATATAACTTGGTGGGGCAGGGAGATCAGTTGACGTTGAGCTGAGAGGAAATGGTTGAAAGATGTTTTTCCAGGATACCTAAAGAACTAACTACCTGGGTTTGTATGTCTTAAAAGTATGACATTATCAGAAAAGTCATTTCTGACTTCCTCCACTCTGTATTTTTTGAAGGGTATTTTGCTGACTTTCCATGTGGATCATGTGCCCTTCAGCTATTGTGATATTTTTACTTTGAGTCATGTAACATGAGATTCAAACTAATTTCCCTTTGAATGTACTGGAAAATGACATGTTAACACATGCAACTAATGAACAGGGCAGAACCGAAAACAAAGGGGCTCCTGCTGTGAGATTTCAAGTGACAGAATCAAAATCAGATTGTATTTATATAGCCGAGTGTCACAAAACCCATTTAGTTGGCTTCAAAGATCAACAAATAATTATATAAAAAGACATAATGAAATTACAAAAATACAATAAAAATGACATGATAAAATGTGAAATAGAAATGAAATAGAGTAAAATTAAATTAAATGGAATAAGAGAAAAATACAATAAAATGTAGGACCCAGGAGGACGTTCTGGGGAAGACTGAAACCAGCTCAAACATGAGGCTTTATTCAAAAGGAAGGTCTTTAGCTTATTCTTGAATGTGGGGATGCTGTATTCCTTACTAATCAAAACAGGAAGCTGGTTCCAAAGAATGGGAGTTCGGTACGTTCCGTATCTACTTTTGCAGACCCGAGGAACCACCAACAAACTGGGATCGTAATGCCCTAGTGGTGCAATAGGGGATTTTTTTGATAGGATGGTGCCTGACCATTCAGTGCTTTGTTAGCTAGACAAATCATTTTTTATCAAATTAAACCTGAGAATATGTACTTCTGGTTATACCAATGTAATATTATGAACCAAGGATTGCTGTGATGCTCAAATATCATTTGGCCTGTCAATACGGCAGGATATGATAGAACTAGAAGGGCATTTAAAGAGCGTAGACTGCCACCAAGGCCATTTCCATAAGTGAAAAACAATGTTTGTGTCCACCCGTGATTCCGATCTGTTTCATAATGCGGTTTCTATTTTTTCTTGACCAATGCTACAACCTTCCACAAAGTTTCATAAAAAACAGGCCGGTTGTTTTTCCTCTTTACACTGCTGACAAACAGACAAAAATAACAATACCTAAAAGCCAAAACCTTATCCAGCTCATCATCTAACGAACGGGAGAAGTATTTGGCAATAAGGCCAACAAGGCTGAGTAAAGATTCATGTGTGATTATTACCAGCATCTGTCATCCACAACTGCCTCCATGTTGTATGAAGGCCTTTCCTTCCGAACAGCAGGTATGTTGATTACACACGTGAGATCTGTTCGTTACCTCAATTAATTCTTGCTCAATCAGCACCAGGCTGGTGCAAGGTAATAACTGAAAACATTAGTTGTCTTCTAGCACTGTACACAGACTGCCACTTTATAAAGTTCCCTGCATGTGTTGGAGACATTCTTGGGACAAATTGGACGCACGTTGTCCAGAGTTTCATGACAAATTGACCAATTAAAACTCCCCTCCTTTCATTACTGAGCCCCCACAGCGTCATCCATTCTTTAAAATGATATTTTAATAAACTAAATAATTTGTCTTTTAATCTGTTGAGCAGTGTAAGTACTAAAACTACTCACACAAATTCAAATGAACTTTTTCCGTCTCCTGTTTTCTGATGTTTCTTCTCGCACAGAGTGACTGAATTGTGTCTCTTGAGATGAATTGGATTAAATGTAATGGGTTCTCCAGGACAGCCTGATCTCTGCGGAGTCTTCACTGTCAGATAAACCTGAATGGAATCTGACGGATCTTGTTGGCTCTCGCAGTAAATGTTTGTCAAACCGAAGAAACTACCGCTGTCATTTTATCAAGCATGCAGTTCAATCTGATCTGATTTAAATCTGACTGTGGGGGCTTGATGAGCTTCTTTAGACTCAATATGGCTGCCCCTCACACTGTTTCAAAACATCTATTCATCCCATTGCACCTAACACTTTTGAAAAAGCAAGACCAATATTGACATTTGGAACAGTGGGAAATAGTTCCTCATGTGAGATGTCAAGGAAATGTTTGCCTTTTGTAATAGAAAAATGTGACATAGTGGAAAAACATGATATAATATTTGGGACATATCTTGAAACTCCACACGGTAACGAATTGTTTTATGGTTTCCCCTGCTGGACAGTGTCAAATGAACGACATTCATTCTTTCTTCCGGCAGTACATCAAAAACTTCTACAATGAGACGCTGACAGAAAGTTACAACTGGATTCCCGATGAGAGGCTCCTCACCATCCTGTACTCCGTCACCGTGTCCATCTTCGCTATCGGTGGGATGACGGGGGCCCTGCTGGTGGGCAAACTCGTAACCAAATTTGGAAGGTAAGTGTGTGTGTGGATGATTTTTGGGGTGTAACAAGGCATGTATGTCTTTGTTATAAACAATCAACAGTTTTAAACATCTTTTTCTGTGAGTGCATTAAGTAAAGGGGGATGACTGTGTGTCCGAACAGGAAAGGGACGCTGGTGAGAGCGACTGTGCTGGTGTTTATAGGAGGAGCTCTTATGGGCTTCAGCAGAAGCTGCCGGATGCCTGCGATGGTCATTTTGGGACGATTCATCACAGGAGTACACTCAGGTAGGCTGATTATTCAAATGAAAGCACAACATTGTTTACACTAATTACCTAACCTTTTGTGATGTTTATTCCAGAGCACCCTTGTAAATCCATCACTTGCTTTGTGTGTTAACTTAATGTGTCATAAAATAGTTTACGTTTGAGATGTACTCACGCACTAGTGCCTCTGGCAGTGTTGAAGAAGGTCAGGTCCTTTACCTAAACAATAACTGTCTCATAGACAGAGGTGGGAGAAATACTTCAGATCTTGTACTTGAGTAGTAAAAGTAATTAAAAAAACATATTTTGTTGTTGATTGATCTCGGAAGTGCTTCTAATGTTTAGATCTTTTTCACTGAGTCCATATGCTATCTAGTCCTTTTTTTCTGATAGTTTAGTATTTTTGTATTCAACTACTGAATATTAAGCTTGCCATACAAAATTGTACTTGGAAAAAAGTTTTAAAGTAAGGTTTTGGTTTAGTACGGTGAATTTACACATTACTAAATATGTAATACAACATACCAGACTTTTTCAGGGATAGTCCAGTTAAAGGTGGGGTAGGTAATTTTGGAGAAACCAGCTCGAGTGCGCTAGAATTTGAAAATACACAGCCGGAAAAAATCTGCCACTTCCTTACAGAGCCCCTCCTCCAACACACACGAACGCGCACATGACCAATGAGGGCACGAGATAAGTTTGTGCACAGATGGAAGGCTGACAGGCAGGTAGGCCATCCAATTATTTTAGCCGGGCCGGCTAAAATGATTGGTCGTGCTTTTTACAGTACTACGGCTTCCACAGATGAATTTATGGATTTTTTGTCAAAGCACTTAAGATATTCATTGCTATCGGGATGTTAAGAGCATTCCATGGAATATAACAAAAAGTGTATCTCGAGCCGGTTTCTCAAACTTACCTACCCCACCTTTAAGTCAAGAAAGTCATTTAATCCGTGCCCTGTATTTTCATGGACAAATACACTTTATCTTGTTGGAGACAGGCATCTAATGTCTGACAATTTCTTTAAATGTTCACTGATGGTAGAACATGTTATCATATGACTAAGCAAACAGCCATTTTCTTTCATGCAAAAAAACATTTGAATGTTCTTAATCTTGAGCCCATGCTAATACGTGTTTTTTTACCACAGGTATCTGCCTAAGTGTGGTGCCGATGTACCTCGGTGAGATCGCCCCCAAGAGCCTGCGAGGCTTCCTGGGCCTCGTTCCCAGCATCCACATCTGTCTGGGAGTCTTCATCGCTCAGGTCCTGGGACTCCATGAACTGCTGGGAAAGGTATACATCTTAGCCTTTAAACGCCACACAGGTGTTATGTCACTGTGTACTGCTGGAAACACTTCAAATGTCTAAAGTTTGTTTTCTTTCTGTTTGTTACTATCTTCTCCACTCTCTGGATTAATGGTGTACCAGTGGGAACAGCATCATTTTTAATCTATCCAGCAATTGTTGTCAAAGTACTGAATTACTCAAGTACTGCTAGTCCTGTCTTCTATTCTCTATCCATCTAGTCTTGATATTGCGTAAGAAATACACATCACATGCCTTATTTCCCTCAGATTGAAAGACCTGAGATTGAAACTATTTTAAGTACACTTTTTTAGTTAATATATGAACAAGCTGTTACTCTATAATTAGATGCCAGTCATTTGTACGACATGTCCAGTAGAAAAGATAATTGGGTGATAAACAAAATTCAGATTGCTGCATTAAGTAAGGTGACATGTTTTTTGTTTCCCCACACAGGAAGAGCACTGGCCTCTGCTCCTGTCCCTCATAGTGTTCCCCACCATGATCCAACTGATGCTGTTGCCATGGTTTCCAGAGAGTCCACGGTACCTGTTGATAGAGAAGGGAAATATTCACGCCACCATAGAAGGTTCGAAACTAGATTTTGCATTTTATTCTTCTAAATTAGTTTTTTTATATTTGATTGTATGGAGTAAAGACTGTGTCATGATTTAAAAAAACTACATTTCTTGTTTGTCTTCTTTAAAATGATCAAAAAGGAAGTTCCCGTGAACCTGTTCATGTTGCCATTTACTGTTTCCTCTTGAATTTGTTGTCAGTGGTGTTTTTGTTCTTCTCTCTTCTCTGTCCTGTAGCTCTGAAGTGGTACCGCCCTAAAGGAAACATCCAGGCGGAGGTGGATGAGATGCAGGAGGAGCAGCGCTCTCTGTCCTCTATCCACACCATCTCCGTTTGGGGCCTGCTCAGGGACCGCTGTGTTCGCTGGCAGGTCATCACCATCATGGTGCTGAACATCGGCATGCAGCTGTCTGGCATCGATGCGGTGAGCGTGAAAAGCGTTGTGTGCTCCGTCTGTATTTGTGTGTCCTCACAATTTTAATGTGCAAAGGCTCTGAGCGTTATTATATGAGAGTGAGAGCTCATATTGCCACAGTTCCCAGCTGTGCTCCACCCATCTGCACCTCCTCCTGTCCATACATCACAGACCCATACATCACAGACCCACATGCAGCCACTGAGCGACTAAGCAGGGGGTAACAGGACCACGCCTCATTATCTCCTGGTCCTCTATGTTAGCGCTACCCCACATTAGAAGGTCTGCCCGTCTGCACACCAAGTCAGACACATCTTTGCACTCATTGCTCCATGTGGATGGAGGCTCGATGCATGCTGGCGCACATGCTAGTACCATTTCCCAGCAGGGGTACCCCCCCTCTGTGTCCAACTGTCCCAGGAACACTGGAGGATTGAAACATCCAGAATTCATGTGTCCAAACGCTGCATGAAATAAATCAGCGACAGAAAATGCTAAGTGAATGAACATGTTCTTGTAGACTGAAGATCTTGGACATTTATAATTGTATTTATGATAAAATCTGGTTATTTTACTTTGTGGAGTTGTTATGGAGATCTGCAGATCTGGAACAACTCAACCATGGACGGAATATTTCAACAACATCTAGACAATGAAACAATAAATACATTTATTTTATTATTAAAAATGAATAAAAAAAATGGGTAAACAAAGGAGAAAAGGAAAAATGGCAACCACAATAAATTAATAGATCCCTTAAAGAACTTTTACATATTACAAGACACCACCCAGCGGTTCATTCAGAGTTACGGGATGCTATTCAAGGTGCCAGCCGCTCAAGGACCTAACATTCCCACACATTTGCACACCATTGGCGATTGGGAGCAATTTGTGGTTAAGAATCTTGCCCATAGACACATAGACCATTAACTGCAGGGACGACCGCAACACCTAACAGAAAGAGGCCCCACACTGTAAGACTCTGGATGTAAAGGTCAATCTTCTTTCTGCATATTACCACGGTAGTGACCTAAAGAACTAATTTCTATCTAATTTTAAAGCTCACTCTCAAACAGGACGAGGAGCTAAATGATTGAGGAAGACCTCGCCTTAGAGGATTCAAATTAGACGGTTGAGACAGGTGCAGAGTTCTCCTAAGGTGCCTCCCTCTGGCTGTGTAATTGTGGAAGAAGACCTTGAACAACCAGATGCACCAGAGGGACTACACCAGACAGCTGACCCAGGAACACCTTGGGTCTGGCCCTGGAAGAGCAGGAGGAAGTCTCAGAGGGAAACATGCCAGCGCTGCTCTGCTAATGTGGGAGATGAGTTTGGACAGATCGATGAAGAAGACCACTGGAAGAAAAGAAGATGATTGATTTAGCATAGATATAAACCGTCAAACAACAATCCTTTGAGTCTATCGAGTGGCCAGTCTTACATGTTCTGTATTGCAGCTTATGTGATCTAATAGAGATAACACACGTTACGTTCGATTTAAAATGAATATAGACAATCCTTGTGTTTAAAACAATGTAACTGGTCCAAATGCTCTAACTTGATTTCCTCCAGTTCATGTATGTTTTCTGATTTAATACAGTTATGTGTATGAGAACTTCAAAGCCGCAATGGTGATAAAAAAGCATATGTACGGTTACTAAATCAACAAGACAGCATTTAACCGCACCAATCAGGATCTTGTCCACACCTCATCAATGATGGATGTAGCATCAGCAAAGTGTGATTAATGAGAACACACAAATTAATTTCAGAGGGAGCAGTTGTCAGACGTCCATGCTGATGAAACGCTGTATCTCAAATGCATGAGTGATGGTCGGTGTGATGATAATGATCACGATGATGAATCACGTGGACACAGCAAATAAACATAGCGACTTTTTGGCTTTTCTTTAAAAAATAAGTTTCATAGCATCTGTCTGGGTGGGCATCAAGGGTTGGTCCTACATATTTATTGTGTAATTGACTTCTTTTCACTTTCAATTTTCAGATTTGGTTCTATACAAATGACATATTTAGGGACGCAGGAATCCCTGATCTTAATATTCAGTACGTAACTGTGGGAACTGGTGCCATTGAGGTCCTCTCTGGGATGCTGGGGGTGAGTAGACATTACCACACTTCAAACACCATAAAGATGACATATTATATAACACTATCTTGTTTGGTGTTTATATAGTGGATCCATTGTGGGGATTTGTTGCTCCATTTTATACCATTCTTTAGTAAATATCTAGCATAACAAGCCGTGCCACCTCTGGCTCTGTGAACTTGTGATGAGTGTATTTATAGACTTGACAGTTAATCAAATAATCACCTAAACAATTGATTTATCCCAAATATTGACTTATTCATAATGGTAATAGTCATTGATTGCCGGCTGAATACTGTTTATTAGCTTAAGCAGCCAAATAAAAATTACATTTTTGTAAAAACATTAAGCAAATTGCACATTTTTAATTTGCTCTTGTAGTTTATAATTGAAAACGGTATTTTAATTTCATTTTATAGATTGAAAGTTAATTGCCAAATTGAAAAAAGTATTTGGGAGATTAACCAATCAGATTATAAGTGTTCATTTTAGTTCTAATCATTTGTTGTTAGTCATTTGCTAATTTGTCCTAAGAACATTTTAAATTAGTCACACAATTGCACCTGCGGGATTTTCTTTTTCTTCTATTCACTGTACAAAGGTCCATTTAGGGCATAGTTTTGCAAACTAGATTATTTTATAGACATTTATTACAGCCGTAGTTGTAGTGAAATCATTAAAAACAAATAAATATCTGCTGCAATAGGTCTGTTGATACTGGTCCATATACTCACCCTGACAATTAAACTAATTGATAACAGAAAAAACTGCGAAAGCACAAATCATTGACTTTTATCTTCAGAACTCTACCTTTACTTACTTTTCACATTATTTAACTTTAATGCAATGTAATGTGCCAGATTAGCTAAACGGCTAATCATAGATACCTTATGTTTTATGGAAACATAGGTAAATATTCAGCCAATCACAACCGTTTTCTCCTCTGTGTCTGTTTGCAGTGCTTCACTATCGAGCGTGTGGGCAGAAGGCCTCTCATCATTGGCGGCTTCCTCTTCATGGGTATCTGCTGTGCTGGGATCACATTGTCTGTCCTCTTCCAGGTAATGTGTCATCTGATCCTGTGCTAAGCAAAGAATATATTAACAGCACCTTGCAGATTGAAGCTTAGAGCATACAGTACATTGTTTTAGATGGCACCAAGGGCATAACCACATTTACATAATCATTTACTTAACCAAAATCTGGTTCTAAGTTATGGTTGTTGTTTTTGGCATACAGTAAGAACACCATATAAGGGGGTTGCCCATATAACTATTTCAAATAAAGTGTATTATATGCTTGAGGGTTCAGCAGTCTAAGATCCCAAATAACTAATCAAATGTAATTCTTCCAAACTAAAGTCTGTTTAGTAATAATTTCCCTTTTTGTTTCCCTTTGTAGTTACAATGGAAGAATCATAATGAAAAAGTGAATTTTGTACTTAAAAGGCTATTCAATTTGGAAGATATCCACTTCATTTGTCTAGTCTCGCTTACATTAAATTACATTGGGATAAGAAAATAACCTAGAGAATAAAGAAAATTGAGAATAGCCCAAATGAGCAGGAGTGTGTCATGTGACACATTTGAAAAACGTTGACTGATTAATTGTTTTAAATTATTTGTAAAATAAATAAAAAGGTGAATAATTTGAATTATTAGATCATAAGTAACAAATGTCAGGAACCCCACATGGTTCATATCATGGAACTCATTTGTTTTTAAGTTGTAAGAAAAATAGTCAAATGTTTAATTGTGAAAAACTATTACACTATAACTATACATTGTTTTACGTATGTTTACAACTCCTGACCTCTGACTCCTGACTTGTGTTTGACCAATCACAGGCGCAGATGGCCTTCATGCGCTACATCAGTGTCGGCTGTGTTGTTGGGATCATCGCTGGCTTCTGCATAGGTCCAGGTAAACACTTTAGTAACTCTCTCTACTTGGAACTCTTTAAAAAAAAATCCACTCCATACATACTTGCACTGCTGCCCTGTGTGTAAGATAACACTGCTCCCTGCTGGAAGCTCACGCAACAGCAGCACCCCTCCCTCCTCCTCCTGTGACTGTGAAGAGATATTGTATTTCATTAGTCTTGTAAATTAGGAAATCATAACTGCCACACTACATCCATTCCCACAGCCATTTGTACACGGGATGAGTTGAGTGAAGTGAATTAAGAGGCAATAGTTTACAACTTTGGGAGCCCCGTTGAGTGGACCTGCGAGGATGATGAATTAGAACAAAACTGGTTTACATAGCGTCATTCGTCAAACCGACAAAAATCCATACCTCGGCATGCGGACGAGGATTTCTGTTGCTGCAATTAGACTTTTAATGGCTCATTGTTCATAAGCTAGCCGTGATGAATACGGTTTCCTTTCAGACGAAACCTTGCATGCACAATGACGCCCCCCATACATACCGCAGATGTTGACAAATTACGGCCTCGTTATTGGTTTGACGATATTAAACCTTCCTCCATGCAATTATCGTGAACAGTTAATGAGGACGTCGTTGGGAAAAGCTCATCATTAGAGCTTTTACTAATGCATATTTCTCCTTCATGGCTTTCACTTTTAACAATGAGGAATTATGCGTTTTAAAGATAGGACAACATCTCTGCATATCAAATTAATGACCTGCACAAGTCCTGGCTAAGCTTTTCTGTTTCTTGTGGTGCTGAGTTGGACTTTCTCCAAGTTGAAAACATCCTTCTCTCTTTCAATCTATGATCACAGAGTAATAATGAACACATTATGAACTACACACAGAAAAAGGGAGTGTAATAAAATAGCAAATGTGAATTAAATTGGTTTCATCATTGTTCTGTTTATTTTGAATGACTGCCAAAAGGTTCTGTGTGGGATATTGATAAACTAATTGATAAATGAAGATGCGGGTGTTATTTTTACCCAATAGATTCATATAGCTACACATGGATGCCTTGTAAGATCAGACCAATAGATGAACTACAGGGAACATGTTGTCAAAACCTGTCCTTTTACATAAAACATATATGTTTTCTTCTCTCCTTACGTAGCTGGTGTGCCCTTCCTGATCACTGCAGAGCTTTTTAAGCAGTCTCACCGACCAGCTGCCTACACGGTGGCTGGTGTCCTCAACTGGATGTCCAACTTCACCATCGGCTTCGTCTTTCCCTTCCTAGAGGTCAGAAAAACTTTCAATTCTTCTGTTGGCTTTGTATTTTGAAATATACGACCCTACAAAACGGTGATACACATCTCATGGGTTAACTGTCTTAAATAAAGTGGTGCAGGAATGAGTCCTAAAACCCAGAAATGAGTTAACCTTCTGGCACTTCAGGTTGAATCGCTCGTGTGGAAGTCAATATACTTTTAGTATATATATATATGTTTTTAGTTAGATGCCTGAAATCCCATATGTGGTTAACAGAAGCTTAAGTTCTACAACAATAATTACATCAGTAAAAATGTTGGTTGTTAACAAGTGACCTAATGGCACGTTGTTACGTAGCCTTTATCTTAGCGGTGGTGATGCGCAGCCTTGGGACAGTCATCTAGTTCCTTTAAAGCCTAACGTTAGATTTGTATTGCTTAACCATAAAGCGGTGTTAATATGTGGAGATTATCCAGCTTAAAAAAACGTGTCATAACTGTTTGTTTGCCACAGAGCTTGTTGTTTTTCTATAATCTAAAAGCCAATGTAAAAATCCTATTAGCATATTGTCGAGGGAGCCCTTGTGATGCTAACATCTTGGTCGGCCTACAAAAATATGTCATCCCTGCATCACTCACCACTAAGGTTCGTTGTAAAATCATCATCTTGTAATGATTTCTAATATTTTGTATCTTAAGTCCAGTTGATATTGAAACACTCAAGTTCATCTTGACATTGCACCAAGGATCTGATGTGGCTTCACTCACAGTGCCAGACAATTATGATATGGGCTGTCTGGTTTTGTTTGAATAGAGGCGACTCCCCACAAAGCAATACAATTACTAATTAAAAGCGACCTTGCTGTGGCTTAAAGTTTAGCAAAAGACTTGTCTAGTAAAAAGGCACAAAGTAAGGAGGACGCTGATCTGTCTTGTGGAAAGGGTTTGATCTGTCATCTTTAATTTAATTTAGAGAAACAAAATGAATCGAACAGCTTCAGAGCTTTCCAAAGCCATACTTTCCACTTGGACTTATGCTAGCAGCTAGTCAAATACTTATGTGTGATGTAAGTGATGAATCCGAAGATTAGTATCCGCTAACTTTGCAGTCCCTTAGCTCAACAAGGCGCAACAAAATGCAGTTTAGCATCTAAAAGAAGTGTAAAAGGTGGAGAAATGTACATGGTAAAAGAAAGGAATAGAATATATATCCAGTAAGGTTTATGAACACACTAGGCAATACATTGTATGATATGTGTAACTTAAAGGGGGCCTATCATGCAAAATGCACTTTTGTACGTCTTTTGTACATGAATATGTGTCCCCGGTGTGTCAGGGAACTCACCAAGTGTCAGAAAACACAACCCTCTCTCTTTTCCTCCATACCCAAATCTCTAAAAACGGGGCTGCAACGGAGCTGATACAGATTTGAAATTGTTCTGACGTCAGAAACAGGGAGCTCCGCCTATATGGGCAACTCTCCACCTATCAGGGGAATGGGGGGTTGGGCCACGGCCACGGCCATTGCTGCTCGAAAGCGCTGGAGACGCTGTAGTACATATGCCAGGCCTGTAAGTGGCGCTGTAGTCTGCCACAAAAGCAGCGAAGAAGACTTCTCACAGAATCAGCCCTTGCAAAAACAGGGCTGGAAAAGAGCAAATAGAGCGAAATGAGGCATGGCTAAAATGCATGATTTGTTTGGTATTTTGAAAAAAAAACCTTCACAGACATGTTTTATATAGGTATGGCCCTACAATATATTATTCAAATATAGCACGATAGGTCCACTTTAAGGTATGAGTTAGCCGCTAGCTGGTGAACATAGCGGTGGGTGCATTTAGCAGCTAAAGAGACATATTTCCTGAAGATGTTGGTGAAAACCCTATGGGGAAATAGAAGGAGAATGAATATTACATGAACATGATTCCAAATGAACGATCATGTTACTCCGAATCTACTGTATGTGTAAATAAGCAACTTGCCAGAACATTTGTTTTCCTTGATTAGACATTTGTAATCTTGTATTCACTGTGACACTGTGTGTCCCCCCACTGCAGATGACTATGGGCCCTTACTGTTACCTGATTTTCTGTACCATCTGCTTGGGAGTGGCCCTCTACACCATCTTCGTTATTCCTGAGACCAAGAACAAAACTTTTATGGAGATCAGCCAGATGTTTGCCGCCAAGAACAACATCCTGGAAGAAGAGCTGACCTCCAATGGGCATCTCAAAATGGCTGAGATGAACGGCTATGGAACGCTTGGCCTCCACAGCTAAAGATCAGAGGGGCGAGGAGACATACCTACATTTAAAGATGATCTTCTTAGTATGTAATGACTGAAGTTAACGTAGTAGAGGTAAAAGGGGGAACTTCTGTGACCAAGACGAGATCTGCTGCTTCAAATTTAAAACTACAAAGACCCATGCCAACACACACACACTCACACACACACACACACACACACGCACATAGAATAATTTATGTTTCAACAGTTAATCTCCAGTCAAAGCGCAGCTCCTGTACATAACGTGAGACAGAAGTCACGCGGTAATGCTTTTCAAATCAAGCATCACTGACATTTTAATCAGTTTCTCCGCATCTTAAAGCATTTTACAGGAGCCGAGTTGGTTTCTCACAGTGCTCTGAGAAGTTTTAATCTCCGCATTAGCTTCACTTTGTTCAAACACATCCCATGATCACTTCATTGTTCACAGTCAGTGTTGAATGCTGTCTTTGTTGCTCAATTGACACTGAAATATGTTCATTTAGTGACACAGCAATAACAGCACACACTAAAGGAAGATATATAATTTCTCCAATGTTTCATACAGCGGTTAAATAAGTCACAAGACATCGTGAGAATGATATAACATTATATTTAACTGTGTGTTCACAGTGTTCAGCTCAAGGTGAACGTTTCCTCCAAGAACTTGAGCTGGTGTTTGTTTCTTCTTCTGTTCACTTTGTCAATTTGATGTCTATTTTATGAGAGCTGGATATTGTGGCTGCTGTCGTAGCCATTTCATTGATATTGTCCAAAGATACGCACATATATTTAAAGCTTGTTAAAGAGCTATAACTTATATAACAATATATCAAAACAACATTTAGTTTTCTCTTTTTGAACTGGTCTGTTTTACAAGAACTCTGTGTTTAAAATACAGTGGAAATAAAATGAAGGCTGTTCGAAAAATGGCTTATTTAAATGTCTCACTTTTTAGTTTTTCGCTGTAAGAGCAAAAAAATATAATGTAATGTATATGCAATAAAGTAATTTACTTACCAACCACCAATATGTAGCGCAGCGGTTCTCTGCTACCAAAACAATTATTTTAGGGCAAATGTTTAAATCACATTACTTTAGCTGTTTCGGCGACCTTTAACTGGAGATTGTGTCCATATATAGAATGTAATACATAAAGTGAAAATACAAACAGACAGATCTGATCTTCCCACAAAGCCAAAATGATTCCTAATGTTGACCTAATAGAAAGTATCGTTAGAAAACACTGAACCCCTATGAGGTTGCCTAAAAGGCAGTAATAAGACACCCTTGACTCTGTCTTGGACAGATCAGTTGTAACTAAGAGCTTTATTAATGATTATTACATGATTTAAAAGTTATGTGCAAAATCGTGTTGACCTTAAAAACAGCAGTTTAGAAAATAAACGCCCCCATGAAGGTCAATGTAGTGGTATGATCTGGAGCATGTATCATATCACATGATCATCATCAGCAGACCCAGTGTGCCTAGCTGCCATTGACTCTCCAACGTGAACAATAAGTCCTTAAGGTGTTCTGAAGAAATTGACATTTCAATATTTACAATTCCATGCAAATGTAGCAAAAGTCATTGCTGATGAGGATTATAGGATATGAACAGAAGCTCATTGAATTGAATTCAGTTCAAAGCTGATAATAAGAACAACTAGTTACAGAAAATCCATTTGGCTGGGTTTCATCCATTGTACTTGGTAATTATTCAGTCGAGCCACGGTTATTTATAGTCCAACTTGCGATGGTATCACGCCGGCCTTCACGCAAAATGGAACATGGGCGTATAGAAGGGGAGCAATGGACTGGCCCCTTCCCAACTACCTACTGACGTGCACGGTTGCTAATCTGTACGCAGTGACACAATCTGTCCACAGAGAGATAGACACCTACTGGAGAGGAGCACATTTCATTTTGCCATCATGACACACACAGAGTCCTGACGTGACAAGAATATTCCAGCGTTGATGTCGCGGCTGTTAATATAAGGCTTTCAAAAATAATCAGTTTGTGTCTGTGATTGGTGAAGTGGCTATATATATTAAATCATTCTATACTAGTCCACCATATCAGCTTAAAAGGGGTATTTCAGATGCTCTGCACCTCTTTATTGTAGTATTTCCAGCCAAAAACACAAAGCAAGTGCCATTAAATATTAATATAGCACCAATAAGAAAAAGAAACATTTAAACTACTTACACTAAAACCAACCAACACACTTCTTTCTTACTAATATGGATCTATAATAGTGTACATTTAACATAATCTTAAAGGTCCCTTATTATACTGTTTTTCATCAATATATTATAGGTCTCAGATACAAAACATGTCTCTGAAGTGTTTGGCCTCGAAATACCAAACAGTTGGTATTGCAGCATCCCATAAACCCCTCTGTTTCAGCCCTGTTTCAAGGGCTGTCTGTCTGTTACTTTAGATGAAAATAAGGAGCCCCTCCCCATGCCCCTCTGAGAGATATTTGGTTAAAAAGAACCCAATGGTGCTCTAGAAGGAGATTCAGGTGATAAGGTGGGGGGGGGGGTTACCTTGGTTGGTGATTGGCTAATGGTTACACAAGCCAAAAGATCGTTATGACATCATAAATTGGCCAAAATCTGATCAGCTCATTTTCAGACAGGTTTTTATATAAATGGATCAGGACAAAAAGAGAGAATCTTTTTTCCTGAAACTTTCAGAATCTCTTAACGCAGAGGGGACACATGTTTATGTATAAAAGACATGAAAAAGAGGACTTTGCATAATAGGTGACCTTTAACATAGTCTCTGCTTCTTTTCCTACCAAGAATTCTGCCCTGCGTTTTGGAATCTTAGGGAGGTTGTGACCATCTCTGATATGTTTGACCTTCACGTCAAACTGTGTAGTTTGATCATGGTGTGAATAATCTCCCAGTGTGTGAAACTGCATCATGAGTGCAGTCCTTTGCCAGCCAGGGTTGTGAATTTGCCATGTGACGCTGTATGGTAAATCTGGGAGTCATACAGTATGTTCAAGGATGGGAAGTGGCGCTTCTCTCTCTCTCATCTCAACTCACTGCCTTTAGGCTGGCTGATCCATCTGTCAGAGTCCTGCAAACCCCCAACTGAGGCAGGATGAGAGGAGGGTCTACCAGGCCATCGTTGGAAACATCCCATCTGGATTGTTTTGGTACAGAGGAAGAGTGCACTTTCACTTTCAGACATGGCTCCCTGTCACAGCAAAGGAAGGAAAAGGAGGTTGGTTGATTGAGAGTCAACCTTTGGAGTTGTTGATTTGCTGCTGAATGACAAATGGACAGCAGAGTCCTGAGAGAGGACAAACAGGGGCCGTGTGGCTGTTCATATGTAACTTCACTGCCAAACAAAGGGCTCCTTGTCACTGCGACTACAGTACATTTCTGTGGATAATGCCAAAGCACATGTGAAAACACACACACACACACACGCAGGCTCACTCCGCCTGGGGCAGGCAGAAGCTATAAATCAAACAAATAGCATCACAGCCAGGCGAAGGAAGCATTCCAACAGATAAAATGCTCTCCCCCACAACAAAGCCACACTCACTGCGTAATTAATTGCAACAAATTACCTCTCCCTCTCCCTGTCGGCCCCCACCTCGCCTCTTTTACGGCACTGACAAGCGCACTACACGCCGTGCGTTCGCAGGGTGTGTGTATGCGCACGCGGCGCACACTCCTGCGCGCATGGTGGCACCGGTGCCCACACACACATACTCGGCCTGCACCCTTCATAAGTGCTTTAATGTGGCTTATTGCAGTGTGCGGTCCCCTTAGCCGTGGAAATATTCGCTTGACGGATGTGCTTTGTCGCCAGCGCTCCCCGGCGGAGGGCGGCTGTCAGGGAGGAGATGATAACATTAACAGGGAGGCAAGGCGATGACAAATGCCTGTTATCAGCGAACGAGGCCGGTGACAAATCGAACGGCAGCGCCCAGGCAGCCCCGGCGCGGCGTAATAAAAAAGAAGATGGATGGCACACCCAGGCAGGGCCCGCGTTAATGCGATTTCCACTGCTCTCCCTGACTCCCAATTAAGGCTGGGAGGGAAGGAGGAGGGTGGGGGTGAGGGAGAGAGAGTGTGTGGATGAGAGTGTTAGAGGGAGCATGATGTGAGGTAGGGGTAGAAATGTGAGGGCAGGAAGGGAATGGGTGCAGTCAGTGGCATTATGAAGAGGCTGGATGTCACCGAGGATGAGGCACGAGTGACAGGAACAAAGTGGAGGAAGCCTCAGCAGAAGATGCAGCTTTAATTGTCTGCCGAGCCCATCTGCTCCCCGCCTCCTATCCCCTTTTACTCACATCTCAATCAGGGCCATGTCTCAGAGGTGTTGGGTTTGTAATATGTCATTGCGGCCAGGTGGAACACCATTTGAGCCCCTCAAACAGAGACAGTAATGAACAACACCTCCCTCTCTTTGCATTGACAGCTTGACGCTCCTTGATTAGCCATCAGGTGTGTCAGCACTGGATCGAAGTATTACAAAAAAAGAGTCCTGCATGCTCTTGTGGTTCTCTATTGGCTCAGGATTCAAAGGCTGCTCCCTAAATCAGCTCTTATAAAAACAGAGCTGACAGACAGCCCATGGCTTACAGGCAGACAGAGCTATAGAGATGAGCTACGACTCTGAGCCGGGATGACTGTTCCAACTAATCCTGTCCAAGGACCCAGATGTTATCTCTTTGCTAAAAGGATCAGCGCAGGATATTGAGAAATCGCCGAGGGATGGTGGGGGGCATCTGTGCCCCGAATACCCAAGGGCTGCTGTTTTGTCACTCTGACAGTGTTTTATAAAAAGGCTGAGGAAGCTCCGAAGACTGCAGAAACGAGGGCCCATATATCTCCTGCTATTACACCCAGGCTAGGAAGAGAGGCTTGAAATGACAATGAAATATAGCCCCGGCTCAACGGGAGAAAAAGAACAGGGTCTAAAGAGGGACGGCTGAGTCTCCTCAGGAGCCTGCAGGGGCTGTGCTCCAAATCGGAGACA